CAATTTTGGATGCCCCTCGCAACGACTGTGCCAGTTTGCAAGGCTTAATTGTAGAGGTGTATGAAGGGACGACAACAAAAAAAAAAAAAAAAAAATTTCCAAGGGAAAAATTTAAATTTAAAATTTTTCTACCACTGTGTTTTTTTTTTTTATAAAAAAAAAAAAAAAAAAGAAAAGATACAGTACGACAGCTGAGGGCTCCACTGGTTCGTGGAACACTTGTGCGTAAGAGCGTACTTGCGATGCACGTTTGAAAAAAACTGCCCGCTCGTTGTTCGCGATTGTACGTGGTGAGCATTCCACCAGGGTGAAGAAACCACAAGTGACAGGAAGCGCATTTGCTGCTTCAGTAAAAAAAGGCCTGCCAAGTGCGAATTAAGATTGCCCGTGGTTGGTTTGTGAGAAGATCAGTGATTTGCGCCAAAGCGAGGGGTGACGTGTACACGTACACTATTAACAAGAAAAAAAAGAACGCTTATCTGCACGGTACGTACTATTATATGTACGCACGATCATACGTACGAATATATGTACATACGTGTGAACGCTGCTTGCTCGACATTGCGTTTGCTTCACAATGGATGGCAACGGAAGGTTCCACATGCAGAACAATTTTGACCTGAGCATGAACAGCAGCTGTGAGCCGCATGCGAGTTATTTTGAAGGTCCTGGGGGGATACATAACGGGATGTACTACAACAGCTACGGAGACGATGGTGGGGGAAATTTCCCCATGGGCCGAGCAGGAGGGAATATGTACATGGGGGACAAAAAAGGGATGATGAGGGGTGGTCCTCCTCCTGCAGTTGTTCCTGCAGCTGTTCCTGCTGCTGTTCCTGCTGCTGTTCCTGCTGCTGCTCCTCCTGCTGGTGGTTTCCATGGAGGGAGGACCATGCACGGTGAGAACGCCCCACCAAACGTGCTCTACCAACGAAATTACAATTTAAATAATAGCGCAAATTATAACACAGGCAGTTACCCACCTTATAACAGCGATTATAACAGTAGCATGAATTATCAAATGATGAGTAGCGGAGGAAGTGGTAACTTCCAAGGGAACATGCTGAATGTGTCTTCGTCTCCTAGGTCTTACCACCCAAATGAAGAGTACATATTGAATAAGAAAGCAGCAAAAATTCTTTACATACATAATATATCGAGCAATTATGCAGAAGAGAATTTTATTTATAGTGTTTGTTTTGTGTATGGTAATGTAGAATCAGTGAGTTACATGAAGGGTAAGAATTTATTTATTGTTAAATTTGAATCATCAGATGGTGCCTTTTGTGCTTATAAGTACCTACCTACTCACTTTAAGAATATACATTTGGAGCTGAGAAACGAGTCGAGGAAAATAAGTTACTTTAATGAAAAGGCTAACAGCAATAAATACATTTCTCCTAACATATGTGAGAAGAAATTTCTTTCGCTCAGTTTGGACAAGAGGGAGTACATCATGAGTATAAAACAGAAGGAATTGCTTCGCAAGTGTAAGGAGAAATTGAACAAGTACATTAATATGCTTAACAATAAGACCATGAATGTTGAGACCAAGGAAAAGCTCAAGTGCTTGATCGATCACTTGAAGACAAGGATAGAAGCACTTAATAATCATTGTGATAGGCAAGCATTGGGTGATTCCTCTAGTGCTGCCACTTCATTTAATATGTATGACCGGGGTCCTTCGGGGAATGTCAACATGGGGGGGGATTTTTCTGGAGCAAACCCAGGTGGGCAGAACAGCAACGCTATGGGGGGAGGAAACTTTTCCAGCGGAGGGGGAGCAACAGGAGCGGCGACCTTAGGAATGGGGCAGGGGGGGATAGACCCAATGAACGCCCCAAGCACGACCATCAAAATTAACTCTGTGATGAACATTCAAAACAATGAAGAACTGAGCAACTACATTGCGCAAAACAATTCCATCTTCCTCAACGAACACATTTTATATTTTTCCTTATTTTCCTTTGGACAAAAATACGCCATTATTAAATATAGCAACGAAAATATTGCGAGAAATGTATTTAAGAATTGTAACATGTATAATATAAATGTGGAGTTTGTGCAGGACGACGCGGATGGACAGGCGACCGGATAGGTGTGTGCCGTTCGCCATTATGCGAGGTCTTCATCGAGCAGTCTTAAAAATGGAATCCACGAACGCGGCACTGCACAAAATGCGCATAAGTATCCAATTGCGATGATTTTTTTTTTTTTTTTTTTAAATCGTAAAAATTGTGCGTGATTTTTCTTTTTAAATGAACAAAAACAGCAGCGCGCGTTTGATGAGTCTTTTTTTTTTTTTTTTTTTTTTTTTTTCAACCTCCTTGCGCCAACTCCCTCTCCACATGATATATAACGATGTTGTTTTGGCATGCCAGCAGAGGCGCACATATTTGTTGGTGTGCGGGTTTGTACTCTCCCGTCCTCTGTTCGTTGCATTTCGCTTCACCGTCGCCACGTTACGTGCACATGTTCAGGACTCCTTCCTTCAATTGGCCCGTGTACACACACATGCATGCATACACGCATGAGAAATGCAAAGCGTAGCGCATATTTAAGGAAAATTTTATGTATGCTTCCTTTCGTCTGGTTAAGTATGGTTTAACGTAGGAAAATGAACAGAAAAAAAAAAAAAAAAAAAAACACCAATAGGACAATGCTAGCCATAAATGAAGGACTCAAACGATAAGTTCGGTAAACGCCACACGGGCTAACCGATCAAACGATGTGCAGGTAACAGGCTCCCCCCCGAAAAGAAGCGAGGGGGCTACAAATATGTATGCACAAACGAAACAAAAAAAAAAAAAAAGCAATTTGTCACACGTGTGCATCACGCGGAGACGTATCACAGAAACGTGTACATATTTTCAATCGACTTGAGGTTCCTACTTTGTTCCCTTTTATCCTTGTCGATTTTTTTTTTTGTTTTGTCTTTTTTTGGTTTCCCTTCCTGCACAATTCCGTTGTAGACAATATCGTGCAGGTGGGTTTTCTGGTGGAAGGTTGTGTGCATTTGTGCATTTTGTGCATGGCTGTGGTGGTCCATTTGTTGATCCGTTGGGATGGCCCCTTTAACCTCCAACTCATTGGGGTTGTCATAGGAGAGGCCCTGAATGAGGGACGGGGCAGTGTTCAGTTTTTCGAGTAGGATTTGTTCCTTTTCTCTTTTGTTGATTAAATTTTCTGTAGTTTGCATGATGGTGTCTAAGAGGACTCTACTTCCTCTTATATTTCTTGAAGCATCATCAAGAACATTTTTTTTTTTTTTTTTTTTTTTCTTTTTTTATTTCTTAGGTTAGCTCCAAACCCTCCTTTACCTCCTTTCAAACGAAACAAAACATAAATGTCTAGAAATTCGTCAAAAATATTTACTGCAGATTTGTTTTCATTTTTTTTAATCAATATGATGCTTCTCTTTTCAGCGAAATTATTTTCGCTAGCAGATATGTGTACTTTGCCATTCTCATCGCAGTGGGTGTTTGTTCTGGGGCAATAATATTCTTCACTTGACATGGATTTAAAGTGATTCATTTTATTTTTAATTTCTTTAAAGTAAAAGGAGTTGTATGAGGATAATTTTTTCTTTACTTCTTTTTTATATTCACTTGTTATACTTCCAACAAGGTTTAAAAAGTGGTTTGAGGGTCTACTTCCATAGAAGGGATGCTCATCATAGGTGTGTAAGAATCTTTTCGAGTCCACTAACCTTTCTTCATTTGCATTTGTAAGAATATTTGACATGATGCTGTGGTGAGAAATATCTTTTTTTTCATTTATTATTTGGTTATTCTTTTTAATTGCGTTGTCTAGGAGGACCGTCTTGGGTCGGAAGCGCCACGTGGGAAGGAGGTTGAAATTTGCGTCGTTTATCACTGGGGTTTCCCACGTGGTTGGATTCAAACTGTGTTCAGAGGGGGGGAAGTAATCGGCCCATGTGACACACCACGTTGTATCACTCTCGTCAAGCCCGCTGCCATCCCCAAAACGCAGGAACCTTTCCTTTATGCTGATATTGTTCATTATGAGTAATTTCTTCGTTATGGTAAAGACCACGTCGATTTTTTTTTTTTTTTTCTTCAGGAAAATATATTTTCTGTTTATGACCAAGCGGAACCTTTCAATTGGGACGTCAAAAATAAGGTTAATTAGAATGTAGAAAAAGGCACTTGCGTTTTTTTCAATTATCCTCCTCTCGTATTTGTTCAGGTACTCACTGATCTTTAATCGCTTGTTCACAATGTTGTTGCCGATGTGGATAATGTAGTTCGACGTCATCTTGGCGAGGGTTCAAATGGGAAGGCGCGATGGAGAGATAAAGACGGGGCGTTTGCTGGTTGCGGTGATTTTCCTGCCCCTTCCGTTGAGAGATGTCCTTTTTGGGGGTATCGCGCACGATGGAGTGATTTACCCCTGGAGGGAGTAACAAATTGTCTCGCTAACCACACGTGCACAGGGTCACAAACACGCACGTCGTGAGGTGTGTAGTTCGTTTACTCTCCTGGGTGTAAACCCTTGGGGGGCAGGTTCCAACGCGTAGTTCTTCGAACGACTATGCGCAGCTGCACACATGAACGTATTTTACAGGGGAGAGAAAAAAATAGGGCTACAAAACAAGGCAAAAAGGGGGGGGGGAAAAAAACGAGCGCACACAAATGGGGGAGTTATCCCTACCCATACACGCAACTGAAGTGTGCAATACGTGATGGGAGGAGAATGTCCATGAGTAGGCAGCGGCGCCGTGGGAAAAAAACTCTACGGTCATGAATTCAAGAAGGTACAAATATGTGCATACAATGATACACTATTGCGATGTATTTTTTTTTTTTTTTTTTTTTTTTCTTCTATATGATCCGCTTTGACGGCTTATAATATGGAAGAAAATACATCAAATGGGTATGTATGGAAGGGATGAAAAAAAAAAAAAAAACAAACAAAAAAAACAGCTACATGAGGATGGTCTCTCGTCACAAACATCAATTTTGGATGCCCCTCGCAACGACTGTGCCAGTTTGCAAGGCTTAATTGTAGAGGTGTATGAAGGGACGACAACAAAAAAAAAAAAAAAAAAAAAGGCTCACATGCGTAAGTTGACACGTTTCCCACACGTCAAATCCCTAAGCAGGTGCTCGTGTCTGCTATGTAGCGTTAAGTTTTATTCACACGCTTGTTGGTGCAGACATGTACATATGGACCCTCGCCAAGAAAAAGACGTTGCACTCCTTCATTCAAATAAAGCAGTTTTTTTTTGTAATGTACATGATTGTGTTTGGACAGGGTCCCCAAGGGGTTTTTCTTTTCCTGGAGAATGGGCATACGGATGTGCTCCGCCCCCTCTTCCTCCGAGCACGGCTCCCGCTGTGGTCTTCTCCAAGCACGCCTCTCGTTTGGGTCTCTTCAATCTTGGAGTGGAAAAGTACCTCCTGGGTATGGCAAACAATAAAGGGGAGCACTTGTCAAAGGTGCCCAAATGATGAGAAAACAAAAAGTGCAGGCAGAACTGCTGTCGGATGTTTACTCGTTGAGTATAACTTTTCTTCAGAGGAGGGGGCGGCGGGAGTTAATTGTTTGCCCTCTCCTTCTTGTATTATACGCCAAGAAGGGTTTTAAAAAAGAAGGAAAAAAAAAAAAAAAAAAGAGGCAGTTTTATGAGGATTTTTTCTTTTTAATTCGGCAAATTTTGGTCAATGTAAAAGGGAAGAAAAAAAAAAAAAAAAAGGTTATTTTTTTCTTTTTATTATTTTTTGTTCTTGCCGGTACGTAAAATGTGAGTTCTGTTTGGGGCATTTTTTATTTTGTGCGTTTGTTGGGGGTGGCTTGGGGTCCGGTTAGCACTGTTTTAAGTTTGGCCCCTTTCATCCCATTTCAGATCGGTTCAATTTGGCCTGTGACTTTTTTTTTTTTTTTTTTCCCATACATTCACTTTGCATATATTTTTTTTTTTTTTTTCATTGCCCCGGCGTCCTTTTTGGTTAGCCGAATTAATCTTCACAAGTGGAAGAAATAAAAAGGCAGGAAAAGGTCGAAATAAGGCAAAGGTGTTTTTTTTTTTTTTTTTTTTTTTTTTTCTTTCGTCATTTTCCTTCTTTTGCAGAGAACAAAAACTTATAATGGAAGGGTGCAAAGGCGTAATTGTTCTTATATGATAATGAAAGGTAGAGCAAAGTCCACCAATAGGAGATTTCTCACTTTGCCATTTTAAAAACGTTTGGGGTGAACCACACCTAGTCCGTCCAGCAGGCAGGGGAGTGGGCAGAAGTCCTGCCGGCAGTTTGACCAGATCCGCGGTGAAACAATTGTACACATATACTTTGTGGCTGCACGAAATTGCAAGGGCGCGTATGTGCGACTTACCTTCATTTTGTGAAGCACCAAAACAAAAAGATTTGCTGACCATCCCGTGGGGGTAAAGCTGTTTACACGTGTACCACGTGTGTATGTGTATGTATATGTGTTTGTATTTTTTTTTTGTTTTGTTCATTTCCCCTTTTTACAATCCTAACGGGAAGCGAGATACAGCCACGCTGACTGCAATTGTGCCCATGATACACACCGCCCAGAGGAACAAAAAAAGAAAAAAAATGTGCTTACTCCTCGAAGCAGTTAAGAAGTAAATGTCCATATGTGCAGTAGAAAATTGGACCTGCGTTTATGTGTGCCTTCGTGGGATGCAGAATAATCCTTTCTCTGAATCCTGTGCGGCCAGACTTTAATGAAAGCATATTGGGGGGCTTTTCCTTTTTTTCTTATTGCTTTACAATTTGTCCTTTCCCCATGAGAACGCACGAGGTGTTCATTTTTGCATCACAACAGGAACACCAACCAGGTGCGATTGCGCTTGAGTGTGTGACGTGTGCTGGTTCCCGCATGAACCTGTCTGGAGGCATGTAGAAATATTTTACACGCTTATCTTCACGTAAACAGCTGAGCCAAATGACGAGACATAACAACCGCCTCGCCAAATTGACCAACGCGAATAAGACTGAACATGTGAACCCCCTTGGGGAGATAAAGGGGAAGAAAAAAGACCCCCTCGTGCCGTCGTCCTGTTCTGTTGGCCTTACTCCCTCAAACGAGTTGCAAAAATGTACAGAGAATAAGACCAATAAAAAGAAAAAAAAAAACTCAAGTGAAAAGGGTCAAGATGGAAACAATCCCAATGCAGATATGCTTGGGAGCCATCCCAGTGATAACAATGAAGACGGAAGTGGTGAGGCAGCGGGTGAGGCAGAACATGACGGCACTGGTGACGACCCTGTTGTGGGGTCTCAGAAGGGGGAAGAGACAGCTGATCAAACCCTTTCGCCAAATGACCTAGTGCCAATAATATCGCTACACAAGGAAACCATTTTAAATTACAAGGAGAGGGAAGACGTTCCGCACAAGAAGGAGACCCTACTGCGAGGTAGCAACTGTGGAGGGAAACTGCGCGTGGTACATGGACAGGGTAACCACGCGAGCAGGTCCCTTGACGGGAGAACTAGCCTACGCAGTAAGGCACGCACTAAGCCACGCAGTGATAGAAGCCGACTAGGCAGCATCGAAGGGGACGAGGTCGCCGTGCCGCACAGCGCCACAAAAAAGGTCCTATTCGAGGGAGGCGTCAAAATAGTGAAAAGTGAGCTGCGTGAAGTTGGCGCAGGAAATGAGTCAGATGCTGCACCAGAAGGGGGCGAATTAAATGAAGCCAAACCGTGCGAATCGGACTCGCCAGACGAACCCTCCGCGCGCTCAAGTGACAAATTGGACAAAGCTGAATTGATCAAGGGAGAACCCCCTCCACCACAATATGAAAAGTACAAACGGAAAAAGAAAAAAAAAAAAAAAAAAATAATAAAGTTCGAATTATTTAAAAAAAGTGTCCTCTACTCCAATTACACTGGCCCAGATATTCTCAACGCTCTGAACCAGACCAAATTGAATTTGAGTTTTTACCAGCGGGAGGTTGACGATTTTTTGAGTGTCATTAGGAATCTGCAAAATATGTAAGTGGTCATCTTGCCGGTTGAATACTTGTGCAGAGCTGTACGTGTGTGCATGTAACGCTGGGGATGGCGAAGCGGGGAGTTCAGAGTAGACACTGCCCATGTGTCACTTTTAAGGCTTCCCTATCCCCGGGTTCGTAAAAAGAGGAAAATTGAGGCACATTTTCATCATACATGTGTAATCCTTTCTGTCCCCCCCCATGCAGCGTCATGATCGAGCGAGAAAAGTACATGGAGTTGAAGGAAATGCTCAAGTACACTACGGAGGAAATAGAAAAGGAAAATGCAAGGCTCTATGAAGAAATTCATTCATATAAAAAAAAATATAACCAGCTTAGGACGGTCATATCAAATATCGGTTATGGTATTTTCTTTAATCTACACAAGAGGGAAGTGCCTACATGTACCAACAACGATAATATAAATTTGGAGGGGGGTTATGGGGAGGAAGGACGTGAAGAATATACTGCCGAGGTGAACGAGTACGATTATGTCATGGTGAATGAGACTGTGTGTTCGGGTAACGGTGGGAACGCTAAGGGTAAACACACCAGGAGGGGAAAGAGCGGCAACACATCTTCGCTGTTGAAATACCTCGATTTTTGAGCCGACATGTGTGAGTGACCGCGTTGGGGTGTGTCCACACGGATGGGCAATTGGGGCTTAGGAAGTTGGGCCGCCTTACCAGGGCGTGTACCTTCCGGTGTCTCCTTCCCTGCCCCCACCGCTGCTGTATCTGAATTTTTCTTTTTTTTTTTTTTTTTTTTTTTTTTTTTTTAACCTGTTCAGGTTTTTTTTTTTTTTTTTTTTTTTGTTCACCTATGTGCGATATCCGCCGCGTCGGTTTTATTTTTTATTTTAGCTTTCCATTTGGCTTCATTTATTTCACCCCTTGGCTCTTACGCGAAATGGAAAAATGCACAGGTGCCGTGAGACAACTCATTCTGCGGTAAAATCATACACAAAGCGATCTTAATGTACAATTATTGACGTCGCTAAAAATGCAGCAAAATGTGGCGAGGGGGGAGTTTCACTGTCATGTTTTTGTTAACACCATCATTGAGAAATCCCTATTGCACGCTCTGCAGGACATTTAGGTGGACAACCCATGCGGATCTGCGCATGCGTGTAGGGCAGAACAAATAAACTTTTTTTTTTTTTTTTTTTGAAGGGAAAATTTATTCGTGCAGGGGGGACAAAGAAAAGGGTAGAATGCTTTTTTGTGTGTCCATTTATCGGGGAGTATATATCCGCGCCGAGCGTACCTCTATCATTGTTGCTATACGCGTGACTTTTTTTAACTAAATCCATTTAAGAAAAAGAAAAGTCGAATGAGTTTGTCCGATTTGTTCGGCTGGCTTGGTTCGCCAGGGAGTTGTATGCCCAATGGAGACATCCTTGCAGGGACACGAACAAAATGGCACTGTGCACATTGACAAAGACAAACATTTCGGAAGCTTCAAATTAGGGGACATGCATTGGGAAGGTGCCACTGCCGGTGAGGAAGTCTTTCCACCTGGGCAGGAAAATACAGGTGACATAATAACTAACTGGGAGGCACAACGAACAAGGGGAAACCATCGACTAAGTAGAAAGCTGGTAGACATTTCCATCCTCAAGAATGTTTTAAATGTGTATTTCCTGTTTGACAGAGATAACGTTGGGCACATCGACAAGAAGTATGCCTGTTATGTAATTCAGATGATTTACGAAAATGATGCAAATTTTATGGTAGAAAATGTTAAGTTAAATGGAGGAGACGCTGTTGGTGAGAAGGAGGAAAGACGCAAACTCTTTGCAAAGGATGCACGGAAGGAGCAGGCATTTTTCTGCACCAAATCCTTCGCAACCCTTTTGCTAATCCTCTTGAGGGACGTATCTGCGTTCCAACCTGTGGGTGAGTTTATAACGAAGGAAGTTTTTATTGATGTAGTGACTCAATTTGTACGGAGTAGCACACACGATAGGAATAGGCATATGTACGGAATGATGAAGTACCCACAGAATATGATCACCAAGTTTTACAACTATGTGCATTATTTGAAAGACCTGGATAGTGAACGGAAAAAGCAGGAAATCAAAATTAAGAAGAAAACAAAGGAATTGAAAAGTATATTTGTCCTTGATGACAAATTAGTAAATGCCGATTTGGATACTCACATCAAACATTTTAACGAAAGAACGAGGAAGAAGTTACAAAATATTAAGATAGAAACGGATGCTCGAGAAATGAAGGAATGCACATTTTCCCCAGAAATTGCCAAGAAGCCACTGTATTTGTTAAACAAAAAATATGAGACAAAAATGAAAAAATTATATGAAGACAAAAACATGTATGGGAAGTACACCACAATTGGCATAACCTACGACTTAGACGATTCGATTGAGAGGACGTTGCATTTGCCGGAACGTGTCTGTTTCGACAGTGATTATGCGCCTTTTACAAATTTTAGCGATTTGCAACATGTAGACGGTGAGAGTAATGGCCAACCGGAGATCCAGCTGAAGTATATAATTCACCAGGGGTATGCAAAACCGAAGAAAATACACTGGAACGATACGCTCAGGAATAAACGGGCCGTGTCGCTTAGAGAAGTGGATGAGGATCTCCTACAGGGTAAGGAAGCTGTAATGCAAAAGGCAGCCAAGGGGGAAGAGCCACACGTGTAAAATAATTTCAATCATTTTGCACCTTAAAATGTGTGCAAATGCAAATTAAAAACAAAAAAAAAAAAAAAAAAATACACAATTAGGTTCGATTTGCCTGACCTGTTCATAAATATTTTAAACGAAAATGGTACGCACTGCATGTGAATATGTGTGTGGTTTGGCTTATCCACAGGTAATGTTGCTGATATAAACACACAGGTGGAACAATCATGTCGCACTTTTTCCTTCTTATTTTTTGTTTACCCCTTGTTTGGTTTGTCAGTGCTGTTAAGCATATCACAACAACATAATTGCGATTGCCCTTTTTTTTTTGTTTCTATTTGGTGATTACCTTTGCTTGTTGCACTTTTGTGGCTACGGGTAGACATCCAAATAAGTATAAAAAATGTATGTACAATTTGGAAATAAAAAAAAAAAAATTAAGACCATGATGTGTGTCAGTGTTCCTGCTTACCATTCGGTATACGTACAGGAGTAGGATTAATGTGCTTACAGCCGATGCGTACTGCAGGCAGGTGGGGAACCCCCGTTGTAAACGACAAACCAAACGAAACCAGAACAATCACACGCACTCATCAAAGTATGTATACAGCTGGTGCGGGGGGAAAAGTTTGAAAAGAGAAGTTGCACATTTTTTATAAGGCACACACTTTCACAACATGGCAAAACGTACAGGGGGGACGTCGAACATTGAGGGATGGCACGGTTTGTTGTAATCCTTCTATGGCACCTTTTTTTTGTGCACTCGGTTTGTGGAAGGGATTTCGAGATGATGTAGGAAGTTCTCGTCAATTCCGTAAGCCCAGAATGGAGACATACAAACTACCGTAAGAGGCGTAGCCCTCCTTTGTAACAATGTAGAAACATGGGGTTAATTCATAAAAGGGGTAAGCATTAAAACGTTACACGTGGGTGGTAGGTCCTGCGTATCCTCCTGCACACATGTAGGCGTCTGTGCTATGTATGCAAATGTAGGCGCACGAATGTATGTGCCCATGCGCTGCATACACGTACATGGGTACTTTTACACGGCCAGACGACAGTCGCTTGTAAGTGCCAAGTGCATGTCATTTCTATTGAACGCGCTGTTCTGCTGGGTGTATGCTCTTAAAAAAAAAAAAGAATGCATATACACAAAAGAGGAGGAAAGGCCAAATGTTGATGAAAACGATCTTGCGAATTCTCTATGCTTGTATACTTTGTTTTGTCATGCTTTTGCCAAATTGACAAAACGCTACACTTACTTTTGCATGGCCTTGTTATCTATCGCTTTTTTTTTTTTTTTTTTTTTTTTTTTTTTTTTTTTTTTTTTTTTACATAGCATTCCTGTTAGGGCAATTAAAAAAGTTTTTTTTTCGTTTCTCTTTATATTTTAACATTTTTGTTTGTTACGTTTTTTCTTAATTTTTTTCATTATGTTCGTTCGTTAAGCCCTTTTGTTTCGTTTGCAAATTTTCCTTCCCATTCGTCGTTCGTTTATGCTCTTTTGCTTTTTTTTTGCGTTTTTCCCTCCTCCTTTTTGTTTCCCCGCCTTTTCTCTTCTTGGCTCCCCTATAAACCCGCCCGTTCTCATTTAATGGTTTTACGCCGTTCCCAGCTTCCCTCGCCCAATTTTTAAGTGGGTATTTTTGTTTGGGGGGGGCGCATCGGATTTGGCTACTACAAAGATATATCTTCCGTGTTTCTCTTCACTTCATTGATGAATTAAGTTTTTTTTTTATATTTATTTTGAACGCTGCTCTTGGGCAAACGTTTATTTGGTGAAGAAATTCCATGGGCAATTAAAAAAGTTGTGAGTTATGCGAATGCGTGTTCCACGTGCACGAGTTTGCGTCATGCGGGGCAGTGGTAACAGCATTTGAGAGAGTTTACATAGGGGAGCACATGAACATGTGTGGATAAAACATACAGGCATGTAAGCACGTGTTTTCGTGTGCCTTATTTATTAGGCCAGTAGCTATTGCCTTGTGTGCATAGCGTTTCATGTGCAGACCCTTCATAGGCATTGTAAAGCCAGGCAGTGATTTTGCCAAATTGACACACATATTATAATATAATACAGTAGCACTGTTTTTCATAATTGTTCTCGTTTTGCACTCCGTTGGATAGCGTTTAAGTCGTCCTGTTTGTGAACGCGTATGAAGGAACATATAGCTTGTTCGTCTACCCTCATCCAGCGTGGTTAGTGACGAGCAGACGTGTCCTCGCATACCTCCCTCTTAGTTGCGCAAACGATGAGCGAGGGGAAGAGAGGTAGTATCCAAGAGGAGGGAGGAAAAAAAGACGGCGCATCATTCAGCACTTCAGCGGAGGGTAACAGCATGTACCAATCAAGTGCCAAGGAAGGGAACAACAAGTACCTATATAATAATGCTACCTATGGAGGGTACGGTGCTCCAGGACGTGGGCTAAGCAGTCTGCAGAATTTTGGCCCATTGAATACTTCCCACAGTGATTATCGTAATGGTTATCAAGGTACCTACCCTGGTGGGGGTTACGCCAATATGGCTTACCAAATGGGTGGGTACCCAGGGGGTGGGAACCCAAGTGTAAGTTACGCAAATTATCAGAGCGGTAACTACCTGTACAGTAAGAATGAGAATTATTTCTCGAATTTTAATAACGCTGGAGATAGCACGAGTTACAATTATTCAAAGGATTGTGGTGGGACTAAGGAAGTGCGTGAAGAGGAGGCGAAGAAGAATAGCAAAAATGACAATATAAATAATGACCCATCCTCTAGTAATGTAAATAACGATGATAAATATGTGGAGATGTATATCAACAAGGTGAAGGAGATATATTACTTTCACGTGTTTTACCATTATTTAAAATTAGGGTACCCAGAAAAAGAGGCGTCCATGGAGTCCAAGAAATATATTTTTATAACATTGAGTCGGTACTTTATGTTAGTTAAAAATGCCATTTTGTCATCAGCAGAATCGATTAAGCAGATAAATAATTGTGTATGTTCAAATTTGTCCTACTATCAACAGCAGACAAATCTTCAGGAATTTTTGCTCAATCAGCAGGTGAATTTACAGAGTATGAATTTAGGGACGCTGAACATTGGGAGTATTAATTTGCCTTTGAGTGACCATGAGAAGTTGGGTGATTTGTCCAAACTGAACTCTGGTGAGGTCAGTGGTGTGAGTGGTGCGGGTGGTGCTAAGACGACCCAGGGGAAGGACTCCACTGAGGTGCAGAGTGGAGCCAACCCAAACAGTGTTTACAATATTAAGGCAGACAAAATTAATAATATGATTGATTCAATTGAAGAAATGAAAAAATTAAATAAAAATAAAAAAATGAATATGTATGGTTTAGATGAACATATGAGTGGAGTAGATGAAGAGGCCAATAATGGCTTAAATAACGCTAGTAAAAATGGTGTAGATTATGCCTTTAACAATAATGAGGAGGGGAAAAAGAAAATAAGCTTTAGCTTAAACAAGACGAAAAATAAATTATTTCAAATGTATAATAGGGTTGGGACTGACCATAACCGGAGGACTGCCAATGAGGAAGTTGGCGAGGTTAGACATTTGGGTGATGAAGGTAGGACAAACGAGCGGAAGGGACAGGGTGGTTTATATTCCTCCAATTCAGTTACAATGCAAGATGCAAGTCATGTCACAGGGAATAATTTTGCTAATATGTTTCCATATGATCAGCAGCGGGGTCGTAATGATGGTAGTGCTCCTTTGAGTGGTGATGCGACTAGCGCAAATGACATGAGCGAGAAAAATCAAATGAAGCAGGTTACTGGGTTGTATGGAAACCGAGGAAGAGACATGAACGGAGATGATCAGAGCTTGTATGGAAATGTTAATTACTCCTCGTATGGACGAGAGCAAGAGTCTCATTTGTACCCAAATGGGATGAATGTGAAAGGGAGTTATGACACGAGCAATAATCTCCTTGGGCGAATGGGTCATCGGGGTGTGGACGGCAAGGAGCAGTTCGTGGGAGGCGTTAAGCAGAGGTATGACGGGAAGGTTACGGCAGGTGATGAAGGCAGCGACGTCGAGGAGCGGCAGCAAGTCTTGCAGCATGCGAGGGACAATCGGTTATATAAAGGTGTGAACGACACAGGTCGCGCGACAAGTCAAAGTATTAGGAAAGACGCTAGTGGCAGGTATAGAATGCAGAAGGATGGTAATCAGGATGGGGACTACGACGGGGATAACCTGGGCAGTGGTATTTTGGGCAGTGGCATTTTGGGTAGTGGCGTTTTTGGAAGCGGCATTTTGGGCAGCGGCGGTAGCAGGTACCCCCATGTGGCGAAGGGTCAGAAGACGACTGCGGAGGAGGAACCCCCCGATGAAGTGAAAAAGTGTGACACCTTTAAGATGTACATAAATAACATACAGGAGGAGTTTAAGGAGGAATGCAAGAATGCCAATTTTTCAAGGCTTTTGAAGGAGTTCATAAACAGGCTAGTAGCATTGAACAGGAAGAGAGGCGCGAACACGAGGTTCTGGAGGTTCAATGTGATGCCAACGCAGGAGGATATCCTCTCCATGGACGTGCTCTTTTTCAATCGCAGAAGTAATTTTTCTCTCTTTTTTTTTATGTGCGCATTTGTTGCGGGGACACTGTTTGCGCTGTATTGCGGCGGCAGGTGGTGGCCAGCAAAATAGTTGATACACCACCCGTGTGATTGTGCCACGAATAAAAGATGCTTTTCCCCCTCTTTATGCTGCTCCATTTTGTGTTTTTTCCCCCCCCCCCCCTCCTGCAGAAGCTAAGAAGCGGTACGCGATGAACGACGAAGACAACGACATGGAGTACGGCATCAGTTTCAGTGACAAGAAGAAGAAGTTAAGTGCAGAAGAAATTGAAAGTAGGGATAGGAGACTGGAAAAGTATGGAGATGTGTCCAAGGGGAAGAAGAATGATCAGTCAGACAATTCCTTTTATATTGATTATAACGGAGCGAACGACATGGATAATAGTGACTACATCACTCTGGAAAAGTTACTTGACAAATACAATTTCGCTAGCTGCTACAAGAATAAGAATTTTGTGGGGTTGTGTAAGAGCATTCAGAAGTTTTTTTTTAGGTTGACGTCTCTCCCGGAAAGGAAAAATGTAAATGGGAATTGATGCTAGGGGCGTGGGAGACAAAGGCGCATCGGAGATTTTTCCCTGGCGTGCCGATTGGGGTCCTGTCCTGCCTTTTTAATAACCTTGTACATGTGGTTGCGTTGTGTGTATTTTGTACCTGTTACGTTGTGATATTTTTGCGTATGTTTTGTTTTTGCCTCCCCGCAGGTGAGAAGCTTCTCCGTACTCAAGTGCACGTACGCGTACGTCCTGCACAAGTACAACCAGGACAGGAACTACAAGTACATCAACGAGCAGTTCAGATCCATGCGCCAATGTATGAACATTCAGAATATTTTCCACGATGATGTTATAAACATATATGAAACTAACATTAGAATTTGTATCGTCAACAATGACCTGTTTCAGTTTCTGCAATGCATTAATAAACTGTTTGAGTTGTACCAGCGGCTAAACATCAAGAAGTCGAAGGTAGGCAGAGGGAGAGGCGTCCGTTTGCGGGCACTGTTGACCGGGTTCAGGGTAAATTGGCTAGTTCACCTGACATCGCTGCGTACATGTCACGTCACCGCGAAAACTTCCTTTCCCCCCCCTTTGTGCAGGTCGAATTTCTCTGCTACAAGCTGATCTATCTGACCCTTCAGAACATGCACCAGGAGTTCCTCGTGGAATACCTAACGCTAAGCGACGAGGAGAAGAACCATGAGAACGTGCAACTGTGTTACTACCTAAACGAGTGCATAAAAAATAAAATGTATTTAGTAAATATTAACATGGTGTCTCCCTTAGACGACGAGGTCAACCATTCATATATATACAAAAGAGTGTTTATAAATGATCACATTTTGACTTATTTACCTAACCTATTGGGGTTGAGCGAGAACCGAGATCTGAATGTGAACTTGGAATTGCTAATCGAGTTTGTGAAACAGCACAGTGAAATGAAAACTGAGGAAGTAGAATGCGTTGAAGATGGAGGTGTGAAGAAGGACGGTGTTAAGATGCCCTATCTGACGAACTACCTGATCGTTCTGTTTCTGCCCAAGTACAGGCTCCTGGCGCTCATAAATATATGCATGTAAGGGATGCTTTTGCGCAGCGCGGCGTGCACAGATCGCGGTGCACATCTTGGCGTTTGCGTATTTGTGTGACAACTGCATCCACATTGCTGCCACCGCACGCCTCGTGTGTAACATGTGCCCACCCCTTACCGCCCTTTCTCTGCAGGACGAGCAATAAGGTTGGCATATCGACCTTGACAAAGCTGCTGAATTTCCAGGACGACGAAACGTGTCTTAGTTTCCTCGAAGAGGTAAACACCATCATGAAGAATAACGAAGTGATAAGCAAGCCCTCCCTGGACAATCTGATGAAGTCGCCGCTGTTGAAGAATAAGTACATTAATCATATTAGGTGAATTTAATGCACAATGGGGAAAAGTGGGCACGCAATATTTTGTCCTGAATAGGTATGGAAAATTGTCTTCCCCCGCGAAGGGGTGTTATATGTGTGTCCCTTTTTTTTTTTTTTTTTTTTTTTATTGTCAAGGGGAGGTGCACTGAATACGCTTTCCCCAAATGTACCATTCGTACACGGTAGCAGTTTCTTCTGCTCCCTCTCCCCCGTTTAACTCTTTTTTTATTTAAATTTTTTTTTGTGTGTATATATATGTAATTCTCCTCACACATGTGGATGTAGCGTACATGTGCTGAGTTGGTCATTTACCAACCGAATCAAACGGGATGACTTATTTTCCCCTCTCGCCCAGTCGAAGAGGGACACGTGGGACGTGTGCAAAACACATTTATGACACCGATTATGCAATAAGAAGTGTAGAAAGGGAAAACGTGCAACATGTAAAAATTAAAAAAAATAAAAAGGAATGCTCTGTTAATCGGCCGGCGGGGATGCTACTCTCCTGTGGGAGTATAAACAAGGGGGGTGGGGGGGGCCCTTCGTGCCACTCTCAAGTGAACGGTTGTGTGCCGCCCATTTCTGCGCGACGGTGGTTTTACCCCATTTCCACATCTTGGTGTGGTAAACCCCTTTCCTTCACGATGTGCATAGGGATTGCATACACGGGGTGCATTTGTCGCAGGTCCAATGTCCCATCTGATTCGTTCATGTGGTCTATCAAGCTGAGTGCAGCGAGGCCGAAGAAGGTGTGGCAAATATCTGGAAGGCAATCTGGGTTGTCACTTATTCCACCCTTCTCCAAATCCTGACAAAGCAGGATGTAATTTTTTAAGGCATTTTTATTTACCCATTTGTATTTTCCTAAAATAATTAAAGAGGAGAAAATCCACCATGAGTAGCATGTGTCTGTTAATTTTTCTGCTCGTCCGTTGAAGCCCCCATTATTTGTTTGTCTCAGACTTAGCCACTCTCCTATTTTGTTTTCATTAATGAGGTGTAATTTTTTAATTAAAAATAAAGTTCCTACTGCACAGAAGACGCTAGCAGCATGGGGTTCATTTCCACTGGTCCAAGAAAACCCATTTTGGCAAATGGCATAATTTGTTAAAACGTATGACGCAATTTTTTCTGTTGATACTTGAGTGAGCTGGTTTAGGATGGTCAGGCAGCTGACTGCACTGTAAACAAAGCGTGTATCTACTTCTCCCCAAATGTCTGCTTTAAAGGAGCCATCTTCATTGAACAGGGATAGGATGTATTCCGTGGTGCTGTTCGCAATGTTCTTTGGTGGGTTACTTCCATCAGGGGGGTGACTTGACGAGTGGAGGTAGGGATTAATTTCTTCAAAGGAATGGTTAAGTAGGAGGAGAGACAATATCGCGTAGTGCGTGGACACAACATGGGAGTCATAATTTTTGTTGTTTCCAAATCCCCCATTGGCATTCTGGCACTGCAAAATGAAATTAATGAATTCGTCCTTTTTGTCGATTTCGTGAGACAAAATTTTACATGAGCAGATGTAGTAGAACACGCCGCGCATTTTCATGGTTTCGTTGAATATGAGTTCTTCTGCGCTGGTTGTGTCGGTGTAGGTGTTTAGGAAGTTTAAGTGTTTGTCTTTTACGAACTGAATTTCCTCCATCTTTTGGATTAGAAGTGGGGGGGGGGTTTGTTTTATGGATTGAGCACACGGGTGGAGGTGGGCCTACACATACGCTATGTAAGTGTATACTTTTATTTTGTTATTTATTTTTTTTTTTTTTCCTCTTTTTTTTACTCTGTTGTGTTGCCCTTTTCAAGTTATCATTTGGTAGATTCTATTTCGGCAGAAGGAAGTGGGGAAAAATTGGGGAGGCATGAAACGTTCAGGGAAATGTTTCGATGGAGTTTCGGAGCGGGGGTGAAATAACACGTTGTAAAAGGGTGGGCGATTTGAAATGGGCACCCGAACACTCCAAATGACATGTGTGGGGAGGATATATATTACGCACACTGGGTGAAGAACTTTTTCAGCTGAACACATGTCGCGGTGAAGAACTGTTTCAGGTGCACGAGGCGACCTTATTTGAGGAGGACCTGCACATGGGGTGAGGATTGGCTAGCTTGCGGCTCCGTTTGTTGGTGCTAAAAAACGGCCAGGAGCTACCCATTCGAATTATTATTATTTTTTTTTAGTGAAATGGTACGTATGAAGAAGTGTCATTATGATTTGTAATTTAGCACATGTTATTGAACAAGTAGGAATTTTGCTAAAGTTTGTTCTTCTTCACAATTTTTTTTTTTTTTTTTTTTTTTTTTGTGCACGGGAGTGGCAACAGTGCGAGAGGAACAAAGGAGATACATTTTAGGAGAGTTGCTGTGGTACATCATTTGGCGACGCCGATTTTTGTGGCGAATTGTTGGGGAGAAGCGGCAAGCGGAACAGACCACAAAGCGCATGGCAGACGCGAGAGCAATTAAAAAACAGAAGAAAAAGGAAGAGGGAAAAATGAAAGGCATTAACAACGGAAATGCTTAAATTATTTTTGTGGAAAGGACAGGACGCTTTGGTAGTGCTTGTCCTTTTGTCCTTATTTGTGAAATGGAAATCGGTTACGTTGGTTAGTGCCCTGAGTAGGTGTCGCAGAAAGGATGGAGTAGTGATTCAACGTTGGTGTAAACCTGCTGAGCAGTCCTTCTTGATGAGTGGGGACCACGTTAGAAAGTCCATCCGTAGCACTCCACACGGGAAGAAAAGCAGAGTGAACACATCTCGTCTTATGTTAAGCAACGTGTGCGCCAACAGAAATGTAGAGTTGGAGAATTACCGCAACATAGGGATCATAGCACACATAGATGCAGGAAAAACGACGACAACCGAGAGAATACTTTATTATACAAATGTTATTAAAAAGATTGGTGAAGTACATGAGGGGATGTCCACCATGGACTATTTGGACATTGAAAGAGAGAAGGGGATAACGATCAATGCTGCTGTTACTACTTGCTACTGGAATGGAAGTGAGAAGAATTTAGGAGAGTATCGAATCAACATTATAGATACACCAGGGCATGTCGATTTCACAGCCGAGGTGGAGAAAAGTTTACGTGTTCTTGACGGAGGTGTGGTTGTATTTGATAGTAGCGAAGGGGTAGAATCTCAATCGGAAACTGTTTGGAAGCAAGCGAACAGATATAACATTAGCCGAATTATATTTTTAAACAAGTTAGACAAAGTGGGAGCAAATTTTGAGTCTTGCATAGAAGAAATAAAAAGGAAATTGAATAAAAAGATTTTGATTTTGTTTGTTCCCGTTTTTGAGATGACCAACTTTGTTAGCACCATTGACATTTTGAAGGAGAAAATGATTGTGTATAAAAATGCGCATGAATTTGTATACGAAAATATTCCTAAGAGTCACTATAATACATTTTTAACATATAAGAATTTGCTATTTGAACAGATCGCTGAAAAATTTAATTCCTTTTTGGACATGTACTTAAATGATAAGCCTATTCAAGTGGAAGAGGTGGAGAAATATATTCGAAAGTTAGTCGTGGAGGAAAAGTACAATGTGGTTATGTGTGGGTCTTCTTTGAAGAATAAAAATGTGCACATGTTGTTAGACGCCGTTGTGAAGTATTTACCTTCCCCCATTGATTCAATTCAGAATTATAAAAATCAGGTTATATTCAAACATGATGTTAATAAGCGGGGGGAGAGGATATTACCGATTGAGCTTCCCACTGTGGGTGTAAAGGAGGAAGCTACTGCGAGTATAAGTGAGGAACCTGCGTTGGGTGGGGCAAGCAATACTGATAAGGGTACACGGCAGGAGGAGACCATTGGTAGTGTCGCGAAATCGAGTGATAATATGTCGGAAGAACTAAATCAGGTGAATATAAAAAATTTTAAGAGAAAAGTAGTTGCGTTGATTTATAAAATTATGAACGACCAGCATCTTGGAAATATAAATTATGTCCGCATTTATGAAGGGCAAATAAATAGGGGAGATTATATTTATAACAACAGAACGAAAAGGAGTGAAAAAATTTCGAAAATATTTTTTATACATTCGAGTGAAAAGTATGAATTGGAATGTGCGCGGGCAGGGGACATTGTCGGCTTGGTTGGATTGAAAGACACACAAATTGGGGACACGTTAAGCAGTACTTTTTTGAGGGCTGAATTGAAAAAAATTAAAGAAATTCCTCCGATTATTAGTTTTTATATTTATAATAAAAATAAAAATGAGTATGAAAAGTTAATTAACGCGTTAATGAAGATTAAAAAGGAGGACCACTCCTTCTTTTATCACATCAATCCGGACACAAAGGATTTGTTAATTAGTGGAGTGGGGGAACTGCACTTGCAAATTATTATTAACAAAATTGAGAAGGATTTTAATATCCCCATCATTTATGGACAGCCACAAATATCCTACAAGGAAACCTTCGTTGAAAATGTGGAGGCCAGGGGAAAGTACATCAAGCAGTCAGGTGGACGGGGACAGTATGGCGACGTCCACATTAAGATCGAGCCTATGTACAGCTACGCCGAGGAGGAAGAGGAGGAGGAAGAAGAAGGGGACAGCCATAACGATGAGCAGAACTCCAAAAAGGTGGACGATCGAAGCGATGAACAGGATGACTCAAACAGAAACAGCATGAACATTGACACTTCCGAAGTGAATAATAATATTATTATAAAAAACGAAATAACCTGTGGAGCCATTCCTTCAGCATACTTTGACGCGATATACACGGGGATACGGGAGCAGTGCAACTTGGGCGTTCTCTCAAACTCGCCACTGATAAATATTATTGTGAGGATCGTGGATGGATCGTTCCACCCGGTCGATAGCAACGAGCATGCGTTCAAGTTGGCTGCGGGGATCGCCATTCGGGAGGCTGCGCGGAAGACGTCCGTTCGGCTGCTGGAGCCGATGATGAACGTAAGGCGGGCGGTGAAGTGGCCAAGTGGCCAGCGTATGCACGACTCCAACGCAGCGCCATTCACGTGGAACACCATTCACACGGAACCCCATTTACATGTGGGTGCGTCCCTTTCCCCCTTTTGCAGCTCAACGTGTCCGTGCCCACTGAGTACCTGGGAGACGTCATCAGCGACTTGGTTAAAAAGAGGGGAAAAATACAGCACATCGATGAAAGTAAGAATTGGCAAGGGACAGACGCGCGACATGCGCGTGATAGTGCTTCTCATTGCATGGCGAGGGCAAATTTTACTACATGTGCGTCCCTTTGAGCATACCCTTTCGCACACAGCGCTGTGCACACTTTGCTGCGCACAATTTGCTGACCCCCTTTTTGTGCACACCCAAATCAGGCGACGAATACACCAAGGAAATAGTTGCGAGAGCACCCATGGCTTCCATCCTGTCCTACGTTAGCGACTTGCGGAAAATAACCAAGGGGCGAGGTTAAAACTTTTGCATTTTTAAAACGTTTTCGTGTCTCGCGTTTGAATGGACGGAAACGAGTAGTAGGATTCTCTGCGCTAGGTGAAATGGTGTATCATTGCGTGTTTTAATTTTTTTTTTTTTCGCCCCGCAGGAAATTACACCATGACGCTTCATAAGTACGCCCTGGTGCCTCAGTACATCCAGGAGCAAATTTTGCAAAAGAAGGATTGATAAAACGAAGTGGTGTAACATGGTCGCCCCTTAATTTTTACTTTTATAAACGCAACAGTCTTCATTTTAAATTTTGGCTTTTTTTTTTTTTTTCCTTTTTTGAAGTTATTTCGAAAAAAAAATATGAACAGTTCATATTTTTTTTTTTTTTTTTGTTGACAAATATTTTTCCGTTGTTTTTAGCTTTTCTCGTTTTGTGTTTTTGCCCAGCTTCCTTTTTTTCTCCATTCATTATACAAAGTGGGAACGAGGAAAGTATGTTCCTCCCACGTTGAAAGTAAACGTTCATTCGTTTTACCTTTTTTAGCAGTGTTACATTTTAGGCCAATTTTGTGGGCACACGCGGGGAAGAAATTGGGAAAAATCGCGCCGAAAAAAAAAAAACAAAAAACGAGTCGATTTTAACCCTTTTAGTAGAACGTACGATTTGTTCAGAGGACTTATTTCAGTGCGATTTTGTATCGCCAGTGGGGACGCCCATGGATACCCCACTTGTGGGTTGAAGTACGACGGTGGAACTGTTCCTTGTGCGCATTGCGCAGGTTGGATTTGCAGCATGGATTGCTAAACAAAAAAGTTCGTTTGTTTCAATTTTGTGGGAGCATTTTTCCGGTTGGTATGCTACGCCGTGTTGGCAAGGTACCTCACGTGGTGAGACGCTCTCGTGTGTGTGTGTGTGTGGGGGGGGGGGGGGTTACCCCCACAAGTGCATATATATATGTACGTAATTTTTTTCACCAAATGTGTGGTACGAAATGGTATGAAGAACACTTTATTGGAGTCCTTCCCCACGTATCGTCTCCCAATTCACTTCCTCACCGTGGAGGATATGTAGCGTATCCCTCCTTCCCACCAACTGATCAATCAT